TAGGTCAGCTATAAGAATAGGATACAAAAGATTCTAAAAGGTTTAGTACAAGGTCAAAGGTTTCTCATATGAGTGAATTGTTTTAAAAACTTAGTGGCTATAACATATTTTTACTAGCATCAGCCAGAGTGGTTAGTAGGCAGAGGTAGGTAGGTGAATACAGAAACTAGAGTAGTTAAATAGGAAACCTACAGGCAGGTTCTAGATATAACAACTAGTATAGAACCTTTGGGCAGACTACTTAAATTAAACAATAACTAAAGTTGTATAAGTGGCTAGTTGTACACTCTTTCCATGATTGCTCTCTGTTAATAAAATCCTAGGTTACAAGTACTCACCTTAATATTTAAAAAAAAAAAAATTAATTAATTAATTAACTAATAATCTTTAAAATCTTAATGTCCAAATAATAAAATTAGAATAAAAAAAATCAGTAGCTAAAATAAGACTAGTTAGTTCTACTATTTTATTATTTAATTGCTTTGATTATGATTAATTTTTTTATATATTATCTAACTAGTTGTAGAAGATGCTAAGCAAATTCTTAGTTTATATAACAATGCAACCCTTAAGTGTTAAAGTAAATTGACAATGTTTTTATTTTTGAAAAAACAATTTTATTAGAATTAATAAATTGAATTATAAAAAATAAATTTAAATATTTAATTAAACTTATAAGATAGCAACTCATTTATAAATTAAATACAGTTAAATAAAATTAAAATTTTGATTATTATAATTATCTGATTGTATATTTATTGCTTTATTGGAATTTTTATACATTATATATTCTTTTAACAATAATAGTATAAGATGTTAGTAAATTTATATTAAAAAAAAAAAAATCTAAATCTTATAACTTTAAATTTGTTGAGTATAAAAACTTAAATATAAATAACTTGCTAAAGTTTGATTACCTTTTGTATCTCTTTTGCTTTTTGTTTTTTATTTAATTGTTAATTTTGATAACTTAGATTTTTTTTGTTAATTTGTTTTTTCAAACTGTGTATTAAATAATAAAATAAATGTCTATTAATTATTATTAAAAAATTTGTGTCTTCAATTTTGATTGTTAAATGAATTAGCTAATTGCAGATATGCATTTAGTCCATGAAAAAAAAACATTTGTAAAAACTATTTTTATAGTTAAAATAATAGATATAACTCTTGAAAATACTAAAAAATAAACTTTCTAGACCTAAAAATATATTAGTTTATTTGCCTGATCATCTATAGTGTCTTTGAATTTACTTTCTAATTTTGACTAATAATTTATAAACTACATTGAAAGGTTCAATAGATCCCCATGCTTTACTAAATAAATTTAAAAAAAAATTTGTATAATTTATTTTTAATTTATTAAATAAAAATTATATATATATATATATATATATTTACAAATAAATAATGCTATTGCTAGACTAAGCTAATTAAATTTAAAATATATATTAAACAAACCTAATGCATTATTTGAGGCATAATTTGTCTAAGCATTTTACAAACACATTTCTTTATATATGCTGCAGAATCTGATATAATTAATTGTATATCATGAAATAAAATATTCTAATTAACCAAAGTATAAACAATTAACTGTCTGATTATTGAATTGTTAACTATATCTAAGTAATTTATAACTACTAACTTAGTTAAATCATAATAATTAAACAAAATATTAACAATACTTCATGTCTTACTATTAGTAGTTTTATTAATAATTAACAAAACTTTTTTGTTACCAAACATTTGTTTAATTATAATTAAGTAATTTTCAAAAACTTTGGAAAGATAATCCTAATACAAGACATTAGCTAAAAAAATATATTATTACCTTAATATAAATATTTTTTTAATCATAATTTAAGCTTATTCATCTTTTATAGAAAAATGTTAGCTTGAACAAATGCATAAATTAAATCATTAATAATAGTTTTATTTGATTCACTTGCTTCATTACAGAATTTAAAATAAGTTATTTAGTTTTGCTTAAAGAGAAAACCATTTTTTGTTTTAAATTTTGATGTGCATTTGTATTAATATAAGCCATAATAGTTGCCTTTATTTTTCAATTTATAGAGTGGTAACAAAATTGACACATTAAAAACTAGCATTAACAATAAAGTTATCTTGAAATTTCTATATATAAAAATATGCTGTAACTTATTTAGAAGGCATTTTATTGTTCTGAGCACAATAAAAAGCTTTAACAAAATATCAAAAATATATATATATATATATTTTTTTTTATTAAAAAAAAAAATTTCTATCTAAATTGTAAAATAATTATAAAAAAGCTTTATATACTGATTTATAAGTCTCTAATTAATTTTAATCAGTACTATTTATAATTTTAACTGCTAGTATTGTATAATATTACACTACAGAAAAATTTAATTTGTTTATAATTTGACCTAAAAATATCAATTTATATTGATCTAAATAAATCAATATTTTTACTAGTCTCTAATGAAAAGTTTATGAACAATTTTTATGAATGTAAAATATACATTTTTAATGCTCTTATATTTATCTTTTTGATACATTTAAACATATTCTGAAACTAATCAATAAGCTTACATGTTATTATAATAAAAGTTAGTAAAAGATATAAAAATTTTAGAGTATAAAGATCTGCGTATATTCTTTTCTGAACATACAAGTTTTGAAATAATCTTTTTTGTTAAAAATAAAAGCAAATAACAAAACAAAACTGATTAAAGTATTTACTAAAGCAAGAAACCTTGCTTTTGTTCTAAAAAAAAAAGTCTTTACAGAATTTCAATATACAAAAAAACATAAAAACACCAAAAAAAATAACATTAATAAGTAGTAAAAAAAAAATAAAAAAAACCAAAGAAAATACATCAAGTTCTTCAAATTTGATAACTGACAAAGAAAAGGCAAGTGATGCTAGACTTAGGTATTAGAGATATTTATGTAGTTACAAATGTAATTTCAAAATCTTAATAAAATACTAGCATAACTGCTTATATTAAAAAAAAAATATATATATATATAAAAGAAAAATAAATAATAAAAATTTTGTAAAAAATTTCAATACTTTAATAAATTGTTTATAAAAATAATTAATAAATATAAAGAAACCTTGCAAACTTATAAACAATAAGGTACTTAAAAATCAATAAAAAACTTGTTTTTTAGTTAAATTAATAGAATATTATTACAAACTATATTTGTTATCAAAATTTTTATTAAATCATTTTTACTTGATTATGCATTCGATTGGCTGAATGTTGCAGATCATCACACGGTTCAAGCACAATCTCCAAAATATATCGCCATGCTAGAGTACTAGGATAGTGATGCATCGCATTAACAATAAATGATAACTCTCTTTTATATATCGTTATAATATATTATATTTGTAATATAAAATAAAATTAGCTTTTATCGTTTTCGATTGGTTCGCCGAACGATTAGAAAATTTTCGTGCTAATGCTTGAAACGTTACTGAATCAATTTTTCAGGGATTGAGTCCGGCAAATAATATAATCAAAAGCCTGGCGTCACCCAAATAATCTACTTGCATATTGAATATTTGATAAATAAAATATATATAATTGAAACTTTGTCTTTAAATATATATTAAATTTATTAAAAAGATATTAACCAAATTAAATGAAAACTGCTATTTAAATCTTAGGTAGAGGGTCGGCCCCTAGAGCTTGATCGGAAGTGATCTGCAGCCCTGGAATTTTCTTGACATAAGGGTACCCACCCTTGCGGGTCACGAGGTACATGGGCAACCCGGAACGAATGGCCACCTCTTGGTGAACCGTTACCTCTGCCTCTTCCTCGCCCTCGTCCGCCACCTCTCACAAACTCGTAATCCTCTCTTGCCAATACTGGCGGATCTAATTTAACATTTCTTAAGAGAACAGACTTATGCATTTGATTACTTGTTTTTGCTGGAAGATAATACACAACACTAATGATAAAGTAATTGGGCGGTGAGTGAGCAAAATTTAAATATTAAAAAATAATTAAATTGTTTATACCTTAATGACCTATCGTTGACAATATCATGAGTATTTTTGTCTGGCAAAGGTGTGTAGAAGGTACTTTCCGGTATACAGTTTTTGTCGCGTGAAACAAATCCAACCAGCTTATCGCTGATCATAGGATCTAATGGAATGGGCTAATACAAATTTTTATTATTTACAAAATTTTGGCAATGAACTAATCAAAATAATGCGGCATAATAATTTACCTTTTCACTTTTTCTCTTAGAATATAATACGCACAACGCATCATACAATTTATGCTTGTTACTGAAACACAAAATCTCAGATCCCAGTTTGTTTCGTTCCTTTTCATCATCAGCCAGCTCAGGATATATTGACTCTGCAGCCTTTAGTAAACGTTCTTCTTCAATGAATGGGAGCAATACGACACCTAAAAAAAAAGGCAGAAACAATATTAAGGAATCATTCGATATGTGAAGAATTTATATTTATTATGTACCTTGCCAAGCATATTTCTTCCCATTCAAGTCTATTGTGAAATTACTAGGATAGAAATCAATTATTTCACTTTCTTGACTGGTCATTAGTTTTTGAAACGGTACGGGCAAATGTTTTTTACTATGTAAAAAAATAGAGATATATAACTATTAGCGAATGCTTTTTTCAAGCATCCAAAACAAAGAGTAAAAAATTATGAATAAAAGTAGGTTATTTACCTTCCAGCCGGTAATACGCCCATTAATTGTTCAAATGGTTTAAATGGTTCACCTAGTTCGAAATTTATTTGTAGATCACCAATATCAATGAAGTCGGAAGCAAAAGGTGAGTAGTGGTATGGATAGTACCACTTCCAAGACGGAACGCCCTATATTATTAAATGGTATGTGTTATTACATGGCCTATAAGTTCGGTTTGTAAATAACAATAACAAAAAACACATGCCTGGAAATAATATCGCAAAACCCAACATAGGCCTTCGATATAGCTCCTTACTATACTGAGAAAGTCAATGATTTTAAGGTCAAATTATAAATTCATAGTAAAATAATGTCAGATATTACGTAATACTAAAGGTCCCCTCCTAATATATTATACCAAAATATTACGTAACATCTGTCATGCCATTATTAAAAATACAAAATATTACTTTGAGCGAAATTGTTCATTAGGCAACTCGATCTCAAATTTATCCTTGTAATATCGCTTCTTAAAGCCAGGCTCCCATAGTCTGATAATATAAATAAAATTCAATCACAAAATGTGCATATATAACGCATTATAAGCAAAAATTTTTAACAAATAAAAAAAAATGACTAATACCTTATGGTGTCTTCTTGTTCTGCATCATCTGAAGGATCTACTTGACCAGATTCACCAGATTCTTCTATTTTATCTTTAATATCAACATGGGTTTCTTGAGTATTATCATCCAAAAATTCGGACTTTCTTTTTATACCAGCAGAATTTGATGATAGAACAGTATCCTCATAACTCGTTGACACTTTTAGTGTTTCTGTTGAGAGTTGAGATGTAGATGTGTTTAATGTCGTTTGAGTGTATTGAAGTGTACTCAAATTTTCGGTAGGCATCGCATCAGAAGTGGCGGTATGAACTGGGGGTTCTAAACCACTCAATTCAGCTTTTAATAATTGAGCAGCACTCAAGTTAGCCATACGTAGCGCCTGCCGATTGGAAACAATCTCTTGATTTGTTCTCGCTCGAATTTGCGAATCAAGACCCTTAACTGGAAGAAGTGGCATTCCAACGGGCAAATGATCTAAGCCTGAAGCAGGGTATACTCCAGTTGGAGAATATTTATCATTAATCCGTCGACGCTTGGGCGCAGGTTGCGAAGTACGCCTTTGTTGATCTTTTTATAGAAAGTTATGTAAAATTTTTTAATAAAAAGTTTTTAAATAATTAAGTTAATGGTCGAAAAATTATCATTTACCTCTGTGCCTTCTAATGAAAATTTCATCTTCCATTTTACCTAATTCAGTCACCAAATACTGCATCCTTTTTAGATCTACCTAATCATTATTAAATTAATATATTAAACTTATATTTAATTTTTCAAAGTAAATAACTAAATAAATGAAATAAATAAATAAAGTGAAATAAAATTCATATTCTATATACTTGCATTTCCACAATTCGTTATATAACCATTCATTAATGGTAGACAACGTTTCCATATAGATATCAAGGTATCTATTGCACCCTCCCTTATTTCTAAAGAAGGCAAATGCGGAAGAAAGTCATTTCCAACGAAAAAACAAAGAAATACCCAATCATCAATCGCATTTTCCAAGTTAAATGGCCAAGGCATACATGATATTTTGAGTTCAATTTCAAGATACTCGCGAAGAGTCTCTATATTTAACAATACGTATGGCTTATTGTAATCCGCATTTTTTCCCTTATCATTGGATTTTGGGCGAGTTACTAAATCAGCTTTACAAACACAATTATGATATTAAAAAAAAAGGATCAATAATAAATCGAATTATTAAGGTTATCATACGGCATTCAAAGATAAATACCTCTACATTGGTTGGCAATGTGATCCATGCGACCACATATAAAACAACCTTTAAAACTGCCGTCATTAAAAAAGACATCTTCACGCAGAACTTTGAAATGAGGTTCATGCGTACTCAACGAAAGCATAATTAAATCAGCATCCTGTCATAAAGAAAAAATCTTTAATTAATAGAAAAGATTATACAAAAACTATTATCAAAAATACCAACCAAGCCATATATAACGTGTCGTGTGTTAGGGTCATGGTAAGGACTGGAACGCTGTCCACGAATGAAATCCATGATTTTATGTTCACCTTCACCTGGAACATTAGAATCAGATAGGATGACTTTTAACTGTATTACAGAAGAATTGAGTTGTTAATGGCAAAACTTAACAAGCGGATCAATAATAAAGATAAAAACATAAGTTGGATTTACATTTTTCCAACCAGGATCATAATTAAGCTTTTCAGCGATCCAATATCGTAAGCATTTTGCAAGATTTGCCATAAAAGGAGTGCCTATAATGGTATTGAAAAGTGAGAATAATTATACAAAATACAACATACAGTAATTTACGATCAGATAAATACCTGGCGTTATACAATTACTGTCGAATGATTTCTTTTGAATTAATTCTTCATCGATTTGTGCACCCGATTCTATTACAAGTTAAATTATTGTAAATAAAATTAATCAATACATATAGTTTATTATAATTATGTATACCTTTAAGTCTTTCAATTTCCTTGGATTTTTCTTCGTTTTTTATTTTATCTTCTTGTGCTGTACGAAAACGTCGTGATCGCTGTTGATTCATTTTTGCTCGAGGAGCCACGCCATCTAATACGATAATGAAAGGGTTTTGTTAATGCATTTCTAAGAATAAGTGTGTTCTTGAAGATTACTAATGATATAACGAGTCTTACCTATGGCAAGATATAAAACTTTCCTTGGTCGTACTATGGCAATAATTCTTTCTGTATATTTAAAGATTTCAATCATCATGTCATCTTCAGTTTCGGGCGCTGGCTAATTGAATTAGAGAATTAGTCAATTTATTTCAATTCGACAACTTATTCAATAAAGAACTGTGCATACCTTGCATTCAGGATGACAGCAAGGATGTATTATACCATTCATGTCCAGGTAAAGGTTGTCAAATTCTAAATTGTTAGGATTCGACTTTGAAATATCTACGGGAATCTCAACGCCATTGATCTCAACTGGCAGTTCTTCGACGACCTTTTCAATGATTTTTGGATATTTTTTTGAAAGCCATCTATAAAAACGATATTCTTTCGTAAATAAGCAAGTTCTATTATACCATAAGAATATAAGTCTACATTTACCTAAAAAGAGCTGGAACTCCCATTGTAAATTCTTTTTTTTTATCTTTCAAAAATGCCGAACGAGAAGACTACTCGAACGCCAAAAGAATAAAACCTGTATTAATATAATTGTGGTGTAACGTCATTTGCAACGAACCTAGCGTCACCCACAAAAAATGGTAGCCGGACAGATCTGCCGGGTATTTATGAATTAATAAATATGGTCTCTAAGTTTTTCAAAAGAATTTTTTTAATGAAAAACATGAATCGCTTAAAATTTTATTGTTTATACGTTTTCTTTTGGTTATATTATTTGTAGGCAAATTCGATTTTTTCGCAAGCATTTGTTTTTTATTTCTACAAGTTAATAAGTTCAAAAGACGTGCTTTCATTTAATAAGTTCAAAAGACGTGCTTTCATTTAATACGGATGGTAATTTATTTAAATGTTCATGTTAAAATAAATTGTTATATTTATTTCATTATTGCTACCACTTTAAAAATATTTGAACTTTAGATAAATTTTTTCAGGTTGTTCTTTGAACATGATAATTTAATTTGGTTTCGGCATTGAACATTTTTTCATTTTGAATAGTATGATATACCGCATAATTTGTATTCTTGATATCTATATAACTCGCTAACCCTACCTACATCAAAAAAGTAACCCTAACTGGTACCTGGCTTTAACGATCTGACATAGTAAAAGAACGACTTATCGTTATAAAAAATTTTTGTTGATTTAAAACTATAAGCAAAATCCATAAAATTTTAAGCAATAACAGCACAACAATAACGATGATAGAAGGAAAATATTTTATTCGTTATTGTATACATAATCACATGTACCCGGCAGATCTATCCGGCTACCATTCTTTGCGCGTGACGCTAGGGTCGTTCTTAACAATAATCGTCGATTAGTGTTAGAAAAATTTTGCCGATTCAGATCATAGTGATAATTAAGCTTTACTCTTTAATTATATATATAATTACCTCCAGAATACGATCTTTTGTACGCAATTTTGACATTCTGGCGTATCTGCGGAATTGGCTCTTTTAATTTGACCCTAAATTAATCATTTTAAGGGTAATAATAATAATAATAATAATACATCAGAAAATGACATTTTTAGGGTTCAAATTTAAAGTGTCTAAATAAAGGTCCACTCATTATCGTGACGGCTGATTAGGGTGCAAAACATTGACTAGCTCTCAGGCCGGAAGATGCTCCGGGGCTAGGTCTTAATAGAGTTTGGAACCGGATTTGATATTCGGATTTAAATCCGATTTCCTTCGGATTCGGACTAAATCCGAATACAAAAGCAAATATCGAATCCGTAATCCCATATCACATTAATTTCTATTCTTGGAAATAAATGACATCATGATTAGATCGCTAACGTTTTAAGTGACGCGAGAGCTAAGGTTCATACGGATAGCAATCAGTTTCATTTTCAAGCGTTGTTTTATATGAAAGACAATAAATTAACTTTTGTTTTTAGCTCTTGTGGTAACTCATGAAAACTAAAGTTCATATGAAAAGCAATCAA